AAAAACGATCACTCATAAGCATAAGGATTTATTTATTTTACAAACTTAGAGGAGGAATTACTAAAGTACTCGTAAGGGAGTATTTTACATAGTATTTTTGGAGGATGGTTGGTGATGAAGAAGATGTTGGGATGGATTTTCTTCTGAGTGTTTTTTCTCTTATACCGTTTGGGCGTATAAGAGACATCAAATCCGTTTAAAATTTGATTTCGTCTCTCATACCGTTGGGATGGGAAGAAAAAGAATTAGAAAGTTATATTTATATATATGGAAGATACATACTTACTACTGTAAAACAAAGCAAAAACGGCCTAATAAAGCAAAGTATGATGTTTGGAAACAGAATTCACGAACAAAAAGGAGCAAAAGGAAAACCAAAAACTTAGAGAGAAAGAAGGGCTAAGGATATTGTTATATGTCTGAAAATTCAAAGGGAAGACACTGTAATTATTTGGAGAGGTACAGTAAATAAGGCATAACTCTTCGTATCTCAATCGAGAGAGTCAAGAGGATGTAATAAATGTGACACACCTCTTCAGATTTTACTACTTTACAATAATTTAATGGGGAACAAAGAAGAAAGGGGAAAAAACGGATGACTTTCATTTTTGAAACTGTTGTTTTTTCAATTCTCTTATTTATTATGGAGCTAAAATTTGAACCATAAAGTATTGGCTTTAAGTAATTAAATATTATATTAAAATAGGAAAAAGTTTCAAAAAATTGAGAAAATAGATAAATACATTTCCTTGATTTAGAGAGTGACACCTCAGCTTTCTCATTCCCAACTTTATATATATATATATATATATATATATATATATATATATATATATATAGATGGGTTATACGACATCATATAGATAAAGTAGCTATAAAAGTTATGCTTGTAATTAAAGGAGGGAATAACTACCTATATATCAAGATTTTTATTTTATTTTCATATCTCGGATCTTGGATAAAGGTGTAAAGGGATCATACTCGTTCCACCACAACTCTCAATATTGTTTAGCATTTACTATGTTTGGTCCTAACTCTGGCCTAATTTCCCCAACTCCATGGTTCCTCTTGTTTGGATATCTTAGTAAAGTACTATCGTCTACATCTCGAAATGGAAAAGAAAAACGTCTATAACCCCAATTTCTTGCCTTTGTTTTTATAGAACTTTAAATAAGATAGAGAAACTGAAGACAACCAACTTCTATGGTTTTTCTTGATCACCAATTTTGTAAATGCTTGTACCTCGAACAGAAATGTTACTGGTATTATCATAAATTTCAAAAATATAAATAAAATAAAAATTGGTCATAATTAAAATTTATAGTCTAAATTTAGAGTTTTTTCCCCTTCTTTTATAAGTAAAACAACGGCATGGTGACAGAATTTAGTATAAAACATAGAGCAATGTAAAAAAACATAGGGAGACCTCCTATTGATCATATTTTAGAGAAATAAGGTATTCTCAGCTCTCTTTACCTTGACTACTAAAGATTGTGGTTGGAACCATCCATTCCACCCAAGACTCGTATTAGAGCTTTGGGAATAAAATTGTCTTTGGTAGGGAATACTTTATCTCTAAAGTACTAATATTTTACGACGCAAATCCATATTAATTATGCCAAAAATGAATACCAAGCACCGAATAGGAAAAAAATCTGTATTGACACAAGCTTAAGTTAAAGAGAGCAAATTGAGGTACTTTTGGAATTCTTAATAATGTAAAGTAAGAATCATGATTAACACTAATTAATGCTTCAGGTTATGGTAACTTAAATCACAACTTTCTTTTTTCTCTATATTATGCACTATAATTTATGTGCACATGCAAGAACTACATTGGTGAACATTCTCATCATTCGCGCAAATATAAAAGCATGATTAATCATATTAGTGGAAGAAACAATAAAATAAAATTCAACTACTTGTCCACATAGGCCAGAGGGTAGCCATAAATAATATTTCAAAAGCTAACTATTTTGAATAAAAGCGTTGAAATTGCATTAAAAATAAATACTCAAATAATTGGTTTAGTTTTAAGTGGGATTGTTTGCAATTATTTTCAACTTTTGAAACATATGCTAGTTGTATAAGTATAAAATAATAAAAGCACATTAAAAATAAGTGTCCTAGGAATCTTGGGATATATTAGTGCAATATTAATGTTGTGCACTTGATTTGAATGGGTCAAAATATTTGATCTATCATACATAAACATATTTTACAAGTTCTTGTTTTAGCATTCAATTCAATATATTCCATAATTATTGCGCAATCAGGGCTCAATAGTAGTATCAGAAAGGGCTGGAAAGTTAATGAATTAAGGTGAAGAAGTTAAGTTCTAATTAATATAATCTTTGATTTTTAATTAGAATCAGAAAAGAATTCCATAGGAGCAGCGGCGGAGGCAGAATTTCCAATAAGGAATTTCAAAAAATAAAAAAAATAAAAGATATTGTACCTAGTGGGAATTGAACCAATGACCTCACAAAAATTTTTAACCTTCTTGACCACTAAACTATGTTTTTAGACTATATCAAATCAAGGGGATTCAAAATATAACATATAAAAGTAAAAAATTAAATTTTACCTTATATATATAATATAATTTTTCGGCGAAAGGGATTCGAATAAACCCTCCTCTTCTTCTCCCTCTTTTTCTCGCCCATTGCTGGCGGCAGCTAACAGAATATTCTTATAGTGTACTATTTGATGTGTAGCTTTTTCTTTAAGATTTTGTTTGCACACCTAATAATAATAACTATGGCTCAATAAAGCAAGTGAACAAAAATAGTGCAGGAGAGGAAATAATTGGTCGAAGAAAAATCTTGAACATGGAGATATTTCAGTGGTAGGGTCTTACAGAAGCCAACTTTAGGGGGGACATTGACTAGAAAATTAAAGAGAAAAGTTTTAAAAAAGTCTTTGCACTAGAACAACTTGCCAATCCCTTCTTGTTAGTTACACAGTAGAAAGAATTACATTGACTTCCAAAAATATATTCCAGTAAATTTTTCCAAGTGGTTTTTACAGTTTTTGAGTTTCTCTATTGTTTTTGCTATATATATTTCATTTAGGTCACTCTTTTTTCTTTTGTTTTTTCCACTTTATATGCGGTATTAGTTTTGAGTCCGATTAAATTTAAATTTGCACTAAACTTTTTTTTATATTGGATGGTTAATCGTTTTCCTGTAAAAAATCAATTTTAGCCCACTGCAGAAACTATTTATATTCAGTAGTCACAAAAGTATATAAAATTTGTATATTTTTTATATATAATATACAACAATGCAAGCAAGCAACAACAATCACCCAGTAAAATCTCACCAGTGGGCTCTGGGAAGAGTAGAATGTACGCAAACTTTACCCCTACCCCAGAGGGATAGAGGCTGTTTCCAGGAAATCCTCAGCTCAGAGACAATAGATTTGTAAGAATAACAGAAATCAGAAAAATAATATCAGCAACGTAAAAGACAACAAATAAATGGAAAAGATATATATATATATATATATATATATATATATATATATTCGGCTATTATTTTGAGAACGAAGACTATACAATATCATTTCCCCTAAATCGAAAGGTCACCTTCTCTTCTAATTTCATAAAGTTTGATGTTCCTATTATCGGTGGTGGAGCCAAAAATAATGATAAGTGAATTCAAGAATTACAAAAATGATTTGTTTATAGATACTTCCTTTATATTACTCCCTCCGTTTCAATTTATGTGAACCTATTTGATTCGATACGGAGTTTAAGAAAAGAGAGAAGACTTTTAATTTTGTGGTGTAAAATGAGACACATATATTTTGTGTGGCTATAAATCATTGTGTAAAGGTAAATTGTTTCCAAATAAGGAAAGAAGTCATTCTTTTTGACACGAACTAAAAAGAAAATAGGTTCACATAAATTGAATAAATTGAAACGGAGGGAGTATAAGATTTTCTCGAAAGATTCACTAAGGAGAAATTGAAAGATTCCTTGTTGAACTTTGTGTCTTAACTAAAGGAAAACGTTTTTTGGTTGTCCCCAATATATATAATGCTTGCTTAGGTCAATGTTTATTTATTGATGATCGAACTAAATGGGTCACCACCTATCATAATCAATAATAACATGGGGCGGCTGTTCCATATGCTGAGTTTGCTGTTAACACTAAACACTACTTACCCATTCTCATAGGAAAAGTCACGTTCAGAATTTAAGGCTGTGTTTGATAAGTTGGAAAGTATTTTTCTAGAATATAATTTTTTGCTATTTGATTAGTGAGTGAAATTTTTTTTCCAACAATAATATATACTAAAGATTAATAATAATATCACCAAATTGGAAATTGTTTTGATGAAGTTTTGAGTACTTGAAATAAATGATAACGTTTAAGTATTAGTTTTAATAAGTAATATGAAGTTCAAAGTTGCCATAATAGAGATGAATCGAATAATGAATCAAATAAATATAACCCAAAATTTATCTTCACTCGCTTGCACAAAGTAAATGAATACAGCATGTGTATTGAATATACATTTTTATACTTAATCATGATTAATCGACAAGTCTTCTCACGTTATTTTCAACTCATGTGATTATATTATATTATATTATATTATATTTTCTTAGTTTTGTAAAGAATTTTTTCCTTACTAGTTATGTGGATTCACGTTTAGTTTGCGCAATAGGTATATTTTATCATAAAGGAATTACTAGTTACATAAATTTTCAACTAGAAAACAAATTAAGTGGGCGTTTGGGCATAAGAATTATAAAATTTCGAAAAAAAAGTTAAGAAAAAATTTCAAGTAAAAATAATATTTGAAAATTAGAGCCTGTATTTAGACATGAATTTAGTTTTGGGCTATTTTCGAATTTTTATAAGTGATCTGAATAAAAATTATCGAAAAAAAAGTAAAAATATTCAAAAAAAAGTGAAAAAAGTTTCATGGCCCGGGCTCTAAATCTTTAAAAATCTTAGGGAAATAACACACTTCCCTACACAATTTTATAGAATTCCACTTCACACACCCACCACGTGACTCCTCATTGAACCGTCAAGATCTCTTAATACCCCACCCTTTATCTGCGGTTCAGATTCACCCACGCGATCTAACCCTTATCGCCAAACGAACGGTTTTAAACTTGCCACGTGTCGTCACCGATTCAATATTATACCCCACGATCCAACGGACCATGCAATTTCTCCCTTCCTCTCAACTCTCCCTCCCTCCCCCTCTCTCAACTCTCGCCGGGAAATCAAGAACCCGGCAATATCTCCGGCCAAAATTCTCTATCCGACAAAGGGCTTTTCTCTTTTTTAAACTTTTTTTCTCTTTACCCATCAAACAAATAGTAATCCCTTTACTTCTGTTTATAGAAATATAGATTTTTTCTTGAAGTTTCAGCTGGGAAACCTTCTAAAAGAAGCTTTTACTGGGTACCCTTTTGTTTTTTTTGTTTTTTAAATTTGGAACTTGGCTTGAATAGCGATGGCTGATTCAGACAACGAGTCAGGAGGACACAACGCTGGAAACGAAGGATCAACAAGGGAACAAGACAGGTTTTTACCAATAGCAAACGTGAGCAGAATTATGAAAAAAGCTTTACCAGCAAACGCAAAAATCTCAAAGGACGCTAAAGAAACAGTTCAAGAATGTNGGGGGGTGGTATGATGTATCATCCACAAGGTCATCAGATGTATGGTAGTCACGGGTCATATCATCATATGGGTATGGGGGGTGGCGGTGGTAGCGGCGGCGGTGGTGGTGGAGGAGGAGGTTCACGGCCAAGGTAGGTGGTGGAAGGAGATGAAACTTTGGACATTAATCAAATTAATCATATGATGTATCATTGTGTTGATAGCTACTTTTCTCTATTACTTTAGGTCCTTTTAAAATATTTTTTTGCCTTTTTTTTTTGGAAGCACATTGACATGTGGAGTTTTAGATATGGTTTATTATAGCTTTTCTTTTGAAGTTGGATTAGTGGGTTACATGTGTAGTACTTTGTGGAAAGGGAGATGAGAAGGATAAAGTAGTACTTAATACATGATATAACCTTCTATGAAAAGGTACTTTGGATATATATATGTATTTAATGGGAAAATGAGATGGTATATTGTGTTATCTTTTAACTTGTATTTCTTTATTTTTCACTTCTTCTTGTTGCTGAGTTTGCTTTTGCAACTTGCCACCACAAAACCTTCCCAAACCCATTTCTAATCTAGTGGCAAATTCAATTATATATGTTTGTGAGTTTGATAGAACTTATGTTTTTCAGTGGAATTATTTATATATATGCGCCAAAAAATAAGTAGTAGCAGAGCTAGATATACATTTTAGCATTCATTTTCTGACTCAAAATTTATCCGTCTTAAATTTGAATATGTCCATGACAAACCTTATCCATATTTCGTGGGTATAGAGATTATAGACAATCATCATAAAAAGACAAAATGTGCTCAAAGAAACAAACCACCACTATTATAAAATCTTGAAAAATGAGCAAAATGATTAAATTCATTGTCTCGAATTTCGAATAAAAATTTATAGCGTTTAGATTAGTGGAATTTTGAATACCAAAAGCACTTAGATTTGGTGATGTTGAAAGGAGCAGCAGTTAGGTTTTTCAGTTATAGAGTTGTTAAAATTTTGTGAAGTGACTGTTGCTAGACATTTGCCGCAAATGTCTATTATGGATATTTGCGTGTTCTGCTGCATAATGTTCTGCCATTTGTCTTACCATCAACTCCTTTCCCTACGAGAAAAAGGGTAAACATTTTGAGGTACTAGTGTCATAGTGGTATTTTCAAATAATAGCGGCTTGACACTCAAGTCATTCTCAAGGGGTAGTTTCAAGTACTTTGGATCGGTTATTTAGGGGATTGGGGAGATTGACGAGGATGTCACACACCGTATAGGGGTGGGGTGGATAAAGTGGAGGTTAGCGTCGGGAGTCTTGTGTGACAAGAAAGTGTCACTGTTACTAAAAGGTAAGTTTTATAGAGCAGTGGTTAGGCATGCCATGTTATATGAAACTGAATGTTGGCAGGTAAAGAACTCACACATCCAGAAGATGAAAGTAGCAGAGATGAGGATGTTGAGGTGGATGTGCGAGCATACAAGGATGAATAAGATTATAAATGAAGATATTTGAGAGAAGGTGGACGTGGCCCCCATGGAGGACAAGATGCGGGAAGTAAGACTCAGATGGTTCAGGCACATTCAGAG